TTCAGACAAAAGGACCAGCTTAGGCAAAGGCATGGAATGTTATGTGTGTGTGGGATAATGGGAAGAGCAGAGACTGGAGAGAGGTGACAGGCTAGGACGGGTAGAGGGGAAGTAAAGGAGATGTGGCTGGAAGGGAGCCATGGGTTTAAGCTGGAGAGTCCATGGTTTTATTTAAGTGTTTGAAAGACTCTTTGGCCAACAGAATAGAAATGGACTGGAGGAGGCAATGGAAGGCAGAGAGACCACTGAAGGGAGTTGCCAAGGTGGTCTAGGTAAGAGATGATGATGAATTTGAGAGACATTCAGGAGGCATAGGTGCTATAAACTGGATCTGGGGAATAATGCAGAGATGAAGAGGCCTTGAAGATGTCACTCAGGTTTTTGGCTTGGTGAGTAAGTAATGCCATAAATGGACATAGGACATTACAGAAGGAGGAGTAAATTTGAGGAATACTAAACATACTGGTGATCAATTACCAAGCACTTAGAAGGTGCCATATACTGTAAATGCTAAGCATTTTATACACATTAGGTGATTTAGTACAGAACAACCGAAGGGAGGTGGGTACTATTATTGTCTTTTTTAAAACAATGAGTGTAAACAACTTCTCTGAGATTAGCAGGCGGCAGGGTCAGGATTTGAACCCACAACTCTCTGATTCCTAAATCTGTGCCCTGCAGCCCCACTCAGTTCTGCCTGACAGAACTGCTAGCCACTACTTGAGACTTAGCTCAAGGGCAGGTTCCTCTGGGGAGCCTTCCCTGATTCTTCCTGGGGCTCCTCCTCTGTGCTACTTGTGCACGCTCCCGTTATCACATTTCTCACACTCTCTCGACGTTTTGTAGACCCCTCTGCTTCCCTATTAGTTAGACAACTCTTGGGGGAAAACATGGTCCCAGTCATCTTTGCATCCCCAATGCCTAGCACATGTTAATTGGCTGACTGAATGCTAGTTATCGTGGGCAATTCTGTTCCCTTGTCCTCCCTCAGTGAACATGTTCTGCTAATAATGGTTTCGTACACATTTCTTTATTCTTTATCTGTTCCTTTTTCTCCACCTCCATTGTCAGAGCTTAGCATTGAGATCTTTGAGATCATAAAGGAAGGGAATCTACCCTGATAATGCAATCTAGGAGGCTTCCTACCAAGGTGTCCCTTGAGCTTGAAAAACAAGACAGAGCTACTTTGGCAAAGAAAGGTGGGAAGGGCACTCCAGGTAGATGAAAAAGCGTAAATCAAGGCACAGAGGTGTGAAACAGTTTGGTCTGCATGGGGGAATAGGAGGGGTTTGGTATGTGTTACTAAAGGTAAATAAGTACGCCTGCCTGAGACTAGTGGAACGAAGGTGGAAAGACAGGGCTAGGTGGGGGTATTATGGAGCTTAAGCTTTGGTGTTTTTCTTTTTTCTATATGTGTTAAAGTAGACATCTGTACAGGGCGCAGTGGGGACACAGAGGAGGCAGTGAATATTTGCACCTAAGGGGTCAAGTAAGACAGGTTTTACTATATTTCAATTATTTGTATACTAACAATAGTACCATTTATTTCCCTGCTTGTTATGTGCCAGCACAGCACTTTGCATACATTGTCTCAACTCTCACAACATCCTGTGAAATGGGTGTTATTACCTCTATGCATAAGAAGGAAAGGAGGCTCAGGCAGTTTTGACAAAATTCCCAGGGTCACGCTGCTAGAAAGCTAGCCCAGACCGGAAGAGTTAAGAGTTCTAGATTTTACTTTGCTGAGACCTTCTTGAGGTCAAGGATCATGTTTTTTATTTTTCTGTGCCCAGACCAAGGTCTTAGAAGAAGGCTAATAAACATCAGTTGAATACATGAATGCGTAACCTTCCACTTTCTCCACGCGAAAGCCCGTGGTGATGTCACTGGGAAACCTCCTGTCCTGGAGGGGGCGCTGTAGCCCTCTCAGCTCAGCGCGACCCGTTGCGGAGCCCTAGCTTCCTCAGGCCTTTGGCTCTGGAGCTCAGCCAATCCCTGCGCTCCGAGGGAGCCGGCGCTGGCGGGCGGGGTCCGGAGCGAGGTCCCGCGGGCCGCTGGGAGTGGCGGCTTCGGTGCTCCCAGAGCGCGGTTGGATCGCGGGCGGAGTGCTGGGGCCGGACGGCGGGGTGTGAGCTGCGGCGCGGGTGAGCACTCGTCCCGGCAGGCAGTTCCTACCCCCGAGCGGCTGCTGGGCCGCCCGTAGCTGTGGCGACGGCTGGTGGCCTTGACCTCTGAGTTAGGGGAAGGGAGATGGCGAGCATCCGCTGCGGCCCTGGCCAGGCTAGACTGCTTCCTCTCTTCCCCGGGCTCGGCGTGGGAGTCTGAGCGCCCTGCAGACATTCTGCAGCCCGGGCTTCTCGGCGTTAGGCACGTGGGTGAGGACAGACCAGACGAGGCCATGAGCGTGGTGGGATAGGGGCAGGGGACCGGGAACCCAGAGGAGGGAGAAGGGCAGACCCTTGGACCCTGACCACCTTGCGCTCTCATCCCCGGACCGGGCTCAGTAACGGTCAGAATGAATCCTTCCACCCAGTCAGGTCTCCTCTGCCCTTGTTAGCAGTTCTCAAATCTCGGACTGCGGCTTCGCGTCTCCTTGGGCCTCTGAGGTCCCCGGCACAAGGGCAGGTTTCCCGGCAACCTTTACCGTTTGACCTTCACCGGACGCTCAGGCTCCTTCAGTGCGGGTCTGGAAATATTTGCCACTTTTGCCTCTTTCGTTTTGACACCCTGGAGATGACTTGTTAGAGTATCTAGCTTCTTGTAATCAGCAGAGGCACCTGCTTTGTTCCTGCCGACTTTCGAGGGCGGGTGGTTAGATGACTGCGGTGGTTTTACACAAGTGAGTTGCTTGAGCTCTCATTCATTCACCAGACTTTTTGAGCACTTAATGCCGGGCGTGGTGGGAGGGGTGGGGGATGAATAGGGCACAGTGGGGACGCACAAACATGGGCCTTGCCCTCTCGGAGGGTAAAGTGCTTTGAGAAAGGCAGACAAATGGGGTAGGCCATCCCAATGTGTGACACAGAGAAAGTGGTCATAAATGTTGAATAAATGAAAGGATTAAGTTATTTGGGAATGATTAGAATGTGAACCCGACCACAGAGGGAGACGTCGGGCTGCATGTGAGAGGCAATATTAGTTGTGGACTCGTGCTTCATATATTTGAAGACAGATTGGAAATCTGAGTGGAGAGTTGCTGTTTAGGAAAAGTGTTTACTTATGGAGAACTTGCTTACAGGTAGGAAAGAAAATGAAACATTAGGTTTGAGATTCTTCAAAGGTGCCTCTTTTAACAACTCCCAAATCTTGTAATTTCACAAATCTCTGAGTGTAATCTTAGAGTTTGCAAAAAGGGAAGCTCTTCTAGGTAGTGAAATGCCAAGCTGATGGGAAGAAATTGCAGTAAGTTCTCCTCAAGTCCAGGGTTTGCACAGAAACCATACACCTATTTGCAGTGTGTTCTTTCCAGTAGAAGGAGCATAGGTGTTGAAGTTGGAGAGTCCTGGGTTCAAGTCAATGTCTCTATCACTTCTGGTGATCTTGGGCAAGTTAAGCTTATGTCCCTGAGCCTTTGTGGCCTTCAACAAAAATCTGGGCTAATAATTCCTACCTCATAGAGGTGTTGTGAAGATCGGATGATGACTAGTGTGTTAATTGTCCAGCATAGTGCCTGGTGCTAAGACAGGGACTCAGAGGGCAGTCTTGGAGCTGCTGCAGTTTTTTCCTTGGTGATGGTCCATTATAGTCTTGGGTCCACAAAATGCTGGGGTTCTTCCGGAGAGAATTGGAACCAGAGGGAGGGGGGAGAGAGTCATCTTAACTTTGGTGAGGTTCAGACCAGAGATAGCTAGACTGGAGAAATACCTGCAGGGGCACAAAAGGAATGATCTTTCAGTTGAGACTTCTGGGCACGTTACTTAACCCTCTGGTCATGCCAGCTACATCAAGAGAGTGGACATGCGGATTAAAGGAGATAGTATATATAAAGAGCTTAGCCCAAGGTCTGGCATGTAATGAGAGCTCAATAAATGGAGCTATCACTATTATGATAGTTGTGAATAGTCTTTGATAATTGTTAATAATGATATGATCATTTGAGACTAAATGGCTGAGAGTGACCCAATTTGTGTGTTTTTACATTATCCCGGTGTTGCCTTACTTAATTTCTGGAAGCCCTGGGGTCATTCCACTTCTTTGTTTTTCCACTTCTTGTACAGTAGTTTTTTAACATAGAATTTTCAAGTTCTAGTGTGTCCAGAGTATGTATAATGGGCTGGTGATATTTTTAGGAGCTTATTATGCAAATGTGAGGATATGGCTTTGGTTGAAGAGAGTGTATTTTGAAAGGGGTTTGGCAAGCAGATTTGTGAGGAAGAGGTTTGTCTTGTTAGAAAAGTCAAGTTTAGAATAGGAAAAAACCATTTATCTAAAATCCAGAGTGGTTGGGTAATGGTTTGGGGTTTTGGCTGCCTAAATACGTTGCTTATTCTCTGTGTGGGGCCGAGGAGCTACTTCTCATTAACCTGGAGACAGGAGACTCACAGGGCTGAGCGTGGCGGGGAAAGGATGGCCGGCTCTGCTGATGGAGGAATATTGTAGAGCAGAGAAAGGCTCTTACCCGCTCTTAGAATGTTGGCAAGTTGTGCAGGGAGGGCCTGGGGTCAACGGTAGGATTGAAGCTTTATTAGGTAAGGCTCAGAGGTCCTCTCGTGGGGAACGCTGCCATACGTGGTTGCATAATTGTCAAAGAGTGTAGTACGTAAAAGAGGTTCTTTCCCCCTTCCCTAACAATTGACTCTTCTGAAGTTTCCTGGATTGTTTCAGAGACCCAGCTGTTGCATAAAGCAAGGTGCCCTCTTGCATTGCTCTGCATGGGCATGGGGTGGGTGCTCAGTAGATTGTGCCAGGCTGCCTGGTGAGTGGCGAGCCCTGGTGGGTTGTCCGTGTTTGGTGGGAAGGGGTGCTGCTTCTCCCTAATGCGGCCTCCTGCTCTTCTGCAGATGTCATGTGGCCTGTGCTTTGGACCGCGGTGCGTACCTATGCTCCCTATGTCACCTTTCCCGTGGCCTTCGTGGTTGGGGCTGTGGGCTACCACCTGGAATGGTTCATCCGGGGGAAGGATCTCCAGCCTGTGGAGGAGGAGAAGAGCATCTCGGAGCGCCGGGAGGACCGCAAGCTGGATGAGCTGCTAGGCAAGGACCACACCCAGGTCGTGAGCCTTAAGGACAAGCTGGAATTTGCCCCTAAAGCTGTCCTGAACAGAAACCGCCCGGAGAAGAATTAATGGAGGACACAGGGCCCTATGGGTCCTTCTGGGGGCCAGGACTGGTCCTGCCACCATGTCGACCCAGCAACCAGAGCCCACATCTGATTTGCTTTATTGCTTCTTCTGGCCCCTCCCGCCCCACACAGCCACACACATACTGGCTGCTCTGCTCTGGCCAGGCAGACACACTAGTAGCTGAGGGGCCAGTGAAGAGGAAGGCCCGTGAGGGTTCTGGCCCGAAGGCTGCCTCTGCTGGATGGTGGCCACAGCTGCTCAGGCTTCCGCGCTGCTAGGTGCACCACTGGGAGGAGGGTGATGAAGTGAACATTGGCCGCCAGTCCCTGTGGGGAGGCAGTTTGGCCTCAGGTGGGAGTGGCTGGGATTGGGGTGATGCCTTTAGGAGGGGTACCTACATGCCTAGTTCTAGTTTGCACTGGGAAGAGTTCAGAAATCTCCCTGGCTCCCTTAACTAGCTTGCTCTGTCCTTTGTGCGCATTCTCCCTGAGATCCTGTCCTGTCAGCTCGGGAAGGGGATTTCCCCTGGGAAGGAAAGCAGTTTTCTGTTCTTGGGAGCCCAGGCTGTTCACCTTGGCGCAGGTGAATTTGCTTGAAAACAGTCACCGTCTTTCACCCCCCACCCCGTCACTGTGTAGTGCAAAACTTGATTAAAGTGGCGTCTGAGAACCATTTTGATCTAATCCTGTCTTCCAGGTGGTGCTGGGGTCTCCTAGGAGCTATGCAAAGCAGGCATCTCCGGGTAGGATAAAATTGGCCTTTAACTAAGGACTTTGGGGCCCCGGAAGCTTTGTTTTACTAGCGTGGCTGCATTGGATCCTGGAGGCGGTGAGTCCTGGAGGCGCAGGTTCCCAAGGGCCTTTTTATCATGATGACATGAGGCTTATATACTTTCAAAGTCTACATTAAGAGTAGACCAGGGAGCTTAACAATTGCTATCAAATTTTCCAACTTGACACACACACATGCACACATACTTTTCCCTATAAAAGTAGTATATGTACGTTAAATTTGGTAGGGGTTTAAAAAAAGGTTACCCACACTCTGAGGGCTCTGGTACAGATAAAATATTAACATTTTGGTATCTTTCACTAATTCTTGGACTAGTTTTTTTAGATACTACTGTACATTTAATTTTATATTCTTTTTTTACATAGTGTTTTCATACCGTAATCACTTTCCTGTCTTATCACATGGTCCTCATAACCCTAATTGTTTTCATTAGCTGTATAATTGCCCATCAGGTGGGAATATAGCATAGTTTGTTTTTAACAGTTTCCCTGTTGCTGGACATTTGGGTTGTTTCTGGTCGTTCACCAGGAGAAATACTGCAAAGAGTATCTTATATAAGGATTTTCCTGCATTTTTGGACTAAATGGTAGGAACAGTAAATGTCATTTTGGAGATTAATCCTTTGTCAGTTGCTTCATTTGCAAATATTTTCTCCCATTCTGAGGGTCGTCTTTTTGTCTTGTTTATGGTTTCCTTTGCAAAAGCTTTTGAGTTTCATTAGGTCCCACTTGTTTATTTTTGTTGTTATTTCCATTTCTCTAGGAGGTGGGTCAAAAAGGATCTTGCTGTGATTTATGTCATAGAGTGTTCTGCCTATGTTTTCCTCTAAGAGTAAATGGCATTTTGGATGAAATGGGATGAACGGTTTTAAGGGCCTCAATGCATAATACTAAATGTCTTTCCTGAAGGGCAGTAGGAGCTTATACTAAATGCTGCCACTAAAGATGTTGTCAGTGAGGTTGGAAGGGGTGAGAGCAGAGAGCCGACCTGTTGCCTCACGAAGTCAACTGACCTTTAACCTGAGTGAGCAAAGGCAAGTAATGAGCATTTGATGAAGAATGAACCTGCCTTAAAAGGGGGAGGGTGTTTGCCCTGCCTCTTACCTCAGGATCTGAGGCCCAGTGGTGTTAACAGGTGGGTGAAGGTAGAATTCCTGAACAGGTAGAGATGCCGGCTGTGGGGTGGGAGGAGCGGGGGGACGTGGAAAGTGGTAGCCAGAGAAGGAGGGGCAAGTCGAGTCGGTGGCTTCCCCTCAGTCGCCGAGGCCTGCTGGGAATGTTGAGATGAGCTGCTGTTGCTTCTCAGGGCATAAATCTGATGGGGAGCATGGGGAAGCAGGGTCTGCTGCTGAAGTGAGGATGAGGTTTCTGGTTCTGAAAGGATGTGCTAATAAGCTCTGCTTGGTTACAGGCTCAGGCTGTCGCAGGCCTCATGGGCAGACCAGTGCTGCCCCCCTGTGGCAGTCCTGAGGACGACCAAGCCTGGGATCCCTTCACTGGTGCTAACCCACCAGTAGCAAACTCTCTTGCCTACAGGGGTCAGTCAGGTGGCTTAAATGAGCGGCCAGGCCAGGTGCTAGAAAGCACAGGCCTGCCTAAAGGGGGCAGTGGCTGTGCAGCTGCTTCCAATTTGTGCTGCTTGCCCAGAGATACCAGATTGTTGTTTTTTCTCTCTAAAAGATGCCAGAAGTTCAGATTTTTTTGGGGGGTGGGGGGAGGTGTGGTATGGAAACTTCTGATTTTTAAATGTTGAAAATTTATTTTTTAAAAAATTCTAAGCATGTTAACATACCCATAGGGTTAATTTGACCCAGTGGCTGCCCGTATGCCACCTGTCAAGCTGCCTCTTGCCTTCTAATGAAATCTTAGAGATGTGCTTTGTTTTTAAGCAGTCTAACAACTGTGGCAAACATTAGATCCCAGGATTGGTTCCCTCAAAACACTTTTTGGGCATTCTGCGCATATGTAGTTTAATATCGGCCTAAGCAAAACATTACAGGACAGAAAACCTACAGAAATAACAGAAAAAAAGTTTTCCCACAGACTAAGACATTTTTGGATTTTCAGATATTTTGGAATAACCCTGCCACCACTGATGTACGTCCTCCCAGTGCCTGATGGAAGAAGCACTATCTTTGGAAGCCCAAGTTGCTCCCTTTTTCTAGTCTCACTTTGTGCTCCTTTTAAATAATTTTATTTCCTCGGGCTTGCCCTCGCTGAATTTTTGCCTCCAGCAAGTCTGTTAGTATTCTCAGCTGGCTCGGTCTTTTCCCACGGGCTGGCTGCTACCGCGGGGCTGTGAGATCGTGCGTGCTTTCTTGCCTCTGCTCAGGTGTCATCAGGCAGCAGGGTTTCTGTGGATGGGGCAAAGGTGGGCCAGGCTTGCTGGGACCAACCAGGGCATGGACTGGTTTTCTTCCACACTTGGTGATTCACCTTGGAGGCGCATGACCCTGTTTTGGGTTGGCCCAGCAGTCACGATTCACTGAAACACATTAGTAAGTAGATGTGCTTGGGGCTTTTACCCACCCCTCCCGGCCCCCGCCCGGGTCTCTTCCCAGCCTGGTGGTAGTGGTGGCTTTAGAGCTGCGTTATCCCGTCTGAGCATGGCAGGGGTCACTTCTCTGCCCTCAGCGGCCCAGGGTCTGGTGCTTTTCCACTCTCTCTCGAGCCTTTCCTGTGCCTGTTGCTGTGTTAGCTCAAGTCAGCTGGGCAGCTGCCAGGACAAGCCTGCCAGGGGGCCCTTTGACTCCTGTCAGCTTCCCAGGGCCCCAGGCTGGTGAGGCCGTCGGCCGAGTGAAACACCATGGGATTAGCGTCCCCAGAGTCACTTGGGAGCCAGGCAGTGAAAATGAAAAGGCTCGTGCCTTGCCTCACTTTTCCTTTTCCACTCTGGTGTGGGTCTCTAGGCACTTGTAGAGTGGTGAGCCAGGGCGGTGTGGTACAGTGAAAATAAAGTGGATTCTCGAGTCTGACAGACTTATGAGTACTGCCTCAACCACTAGCTGAATGACCTTGAGCAAGTCACGTAGCCTTTCTGAGCCTCAGGGATCGGTTATCCTCATCTGTAAAACAGGGATAAGAGTACCTATTTTTGCTGGGTTGTTGCAAAGTTAAGGTAACGTATGTAAAGTTCTTAGCAGAGTCCATGGCAACAAGTAGGTGCTCAGTAAATGTTGGCTGCTGGAGTTTTATTGCAGGAAAAACAGTTCCATGTAGCCTTGGGATCCTAGTGAGCTAGGGATCCGGAGGGGAGAGCAGCCGTGGTGGGAGGGTGATCACAGGGACCCACCCTCACAGGGACCCTCTCAGGCCTGGTGGTTGAGGGCTTCTTAGGAGTATTTTACAGGAAAGGCTGCCTTGTCCAAGAACCAGGCTGGCCACGGGGTTTCAGGCTTCAACCTGTGTCGCTAAGTAGTAGCCGCATCGGTGCCGTCTCAAGGTCAGAGACAAGATGGGCGGAGCGAGGTGTGGGGGAACGCCGAGAGTAGCCTGCGGCAGGATGGGTGGAGGTGAGAGCCTTGGACTTGGAGGCAAGAGACTGGGGTGGCCTGGGACATGCCCCTTCACCTCTTCTGGCCTTGGAAGAATAGGGGTACTGATATCCTTCCTGCTGTAGTGTAAAAAGAGCGAGAAGCCAGCTTAGAGCTTCGAAAACGTGCAAGTGTTGTTCTGTCCCAGTAAAATCTCCCTTTTATCGAATCAGGATGGCAGCCAGTCTGAATAATGGAATAGACATAAATGCTCTTTATTCTTTTTCTGAACAGCCTCTTCAAAGTATTTGCTAAGTAGAAGTCTTTGGGGAATCAGCTTGAAGAGTAAAGAGGAGTAATTAGTAATTAGTGTGTATCATTTTGCATCCTGTTCCAGTGGTGCCTTGATGTACTTAAAAACAGTTTATTCTTTTTTAATTAAATTTGTTAACATTAGTTATCTGTTTATCAAATCCCTTTTACACAATGCAGAGATGAACCTTGGCTTTGGTTTTTTGTTTAAAAATTCCAAATGGGTCCTCCAAATATTTTTGAGATTTTTAAACATCTTTACTGGTGTCCCAGAAAGGGCAGCTCTTCTCTCTAGAAGAGTCCAAAGTCCCTTGTACTCTTATGCCCCTCTCCACTGGCCCTGTTCCTTCACTTCCAACCCCAGCTCCACTGTCCATTTCTGTTTGCTTCTGGGCCTGAACTGCCCAGTGCAGCTAGAGAATTTTGCATAACCGTGTGGCCTGGCACTCTGCATGTATGGGTTCAGATGCAGCCTTCAAGGTGATTTCTTATTTATTTGTCTTCTTTGGCTGCGCTGTGTGGCATGTGGGATCTAGTTCCCTGACCAGGGATAGAACCCGTGCCTCCTGCATTGGGAGCATGGAGTCTTAACCACTGGACCACCAGGGAAGTCCCTGATTTCTTTCTTTTTTTTTTTTTTTTTTTTGCGATACACGGGCCTCTCACTGTTGTGGCCTCTCCCGTTGCGGAGCACAGGCTCCGGCCATGCAGGCTTAGCGGCCATGGCTCACGGGCCCAGCCGCGGAGCGGCATGTGGGATCCTCCCAGTCCGGGGCACCAACCAGCGTCCCCTGCATTGGCAGGCGGACTCAACCACTGCGCCACCAGGGAAGCCCCTGATTTCTTTTTTAAACCAAGCTTGTCAAGCCCTCAGCCCCATCCCTGCATTCCTCTTAGCCCTTGCTGCTTGCTTTCCACTTCTACCACTAAAGTGGTGAAACCAGTTTGGCTGAAAGCTTTTGTGATTGCACATGTGGTATCCATTCCTAGTTATACTAATTAATCTTTTGCAGTGTCCGGCACTCTTGACTGAATTCTGTCTTGACATCACCACCACCCCGTTTCCTTTCCCAGCTGATGTCTCCTCTGCCACTGG